AACAACAACAACAACAACAGTTTATTTACAAAATTTGAATACAAATTTGAACACATTCTTTCCATTTCCCCCATCCCCCATTCTTTACTTTTTTTGATTGTAAAACTTTACCATATTTTATTTTCAATACTTTAAAAAAATTGATGGTGTTTACTCTGGATTCTCAAAGCTAGATTTTGCATCTTGTATCTCCATCACCAACTACAGAGATGGTAAGAGAAATTCCATAGCGTGTTGCTTCTCACATGAGAATTCTCTGTGTACATACTGGTGTATTGTGACAGTCTTTAATAGTAAAAAAGTGTCACTTGTGAGTTTCTTAAAGAAAACAAGGCTATAAAACCAGATGATTTAAGTTCACAGTCCAGAAGAAAATATTTATGGATATTCCTCATTGTAGAGTACATTAAACTCTAATTTATTCTGTGGTTGTGCACCATCCAGCTGGACTTGACTCATACCTTGCCCCTCCTGCAGGCTTACAGAAACTGTAAATCACACAGGAGGAGACTGCCCAACTTTCTCCCACAGGAATTCTATGGAAATGATATTTAATATTTTTATATAGTTATTATTGGCTGCCTTTTGTTTTTCTAATTAAGAATACAGATCCCTTATCCTGGTGTTCTGACACACTAAAAATCTTCAATAGTTCCCGATTCTGAGGACAGTATTAACCAGATGGCTACACTAATTCAGAATGGTCAACCAGTTAAAGAAAACTGTTACTGGAGAAGATGGTATCTTGAGAAAGATATATTTGATAGAAACAATTAAAGAGATATATTTTGTGTTGCACATTTTTACCTAAGAATTTGGGGTATAGTTACAAGGTTATCATATCAAAATGAAAGCTAACACAGCCTAGTAATGTAGTTTTGAAGGTAGCTCAAAGCCAGCCCCACTGCTGTCAAGTGGATTCTGACTCATAGAGACCTTATGGGACCAGGCAAAACTGCCTGGAAGAGTTCCAAAGCCTTTAAGTATTTATGGAAGCAGACCAGCACATCTTTCTTCCACAGAATGAATAGTGAATTTGAACCACCAAAGTTTCATTTGACATAACTTTCCATTTTAGCTACTTGAAGAATTCTAGCCCTAAACATCTCAAACTCAAATTCGTTGCTGTCAAGTAGAAATTTACGCATAGCTGACCGTCCAATGGGTTTTTGGAGACTGTAAACAGCATGACAGGAGAGTTCCATCTTTTTCCCAAGAAGTTGATGGTGGATTCAAATCACCCGAGAGGCCCCCTCCTTTGGGTCACCAGCACAATTCCCTACTGAATATACCACCAAAGCTACATACCATCAAATTGTGTGTGTTGAAACCTGCATTATACCATTTTCCTTGTAAAGGAAAAAAATACAAACAAAAAATGTTGTTGTTGTTGTTGTTATGTGCCGTCGAGTCACTTGTGACTCATAGCGACCCTATGTACAACAGCCCTAAACTCTGCTCTGTCCTGTGCCAATCGCACTGTCTCTGACACTCCCATCACGATGATCCCAGTCACTGAATCAATCCACCTCATAGAGGGCCTTCCCCTCCTGTGCTGTCCCTCCACCCTCCCAAGCATGATGTCCTTCTCCAAGGACCGGTCTCTCCTCACAACATGTCCAAAGTATGTTAGACGGAGCCTCAGAATCCTTGAAAAATAGTTTGTAAAAATTAAATATATACTTATGTTAATTTTAAATAAATAAAAGCTTATATTCCAGTGAATTTTTTCCCCTCATCCATCTCAACCCCTAGTTTTGCTTTAGGTCCATTTATATTCCATGGCCCTTCCTTTCTTATTTCCAAGTTTTTAGATGCTTTTGTTAAAAATTCTTTAATGCCCAGAACCTTTGTCCACCTTGTATACCTGCAAGACCATGGCACGAGTGGCGGTCCTCTTGAGGCTCACATGGTAAATGCAGCTTAGCCAACTGGAAGAGAACAGTCAGTTCTAATGAACCCCCTTATAAGCCATGCACACGACCTCTATAAAATGTGGGATTGCCAACATCCCATCACAGGAATTCTCTGGCTACTCACAGATGTAATTCTCAAATTAATGCTCAGGCTAACACCTGTAAAACCATAGGCTGACAGATCAAATGTTAATACAATATTTTTATTACCCACAATTTAAATTCTATGGCGCTTCTCTGTCTGATGCACTCCAGCCCCAAGTCAAGAAATGAACAAGGATGTGGAGTAAAGCTGGAAACAATCAAAATGAAGGACAACCACCCCTGGTAAAATTAAGCTGAAAGAAAATTAGTGACACCATGCAGTTTCTGAGATATCATAAAAAATTGTTTCTTAATATTGATAAGAAAATTATGTATCCGTGAAAATGCAGGCATAGAAATATAGTACTGAGAGTTTAAATTTGTGATGTCTTGACTGGAGGGAAAATGGAATTCTTATTCCTAAAGAGAGCTGATGTCTTCAGTGTTGCTGATGGCTCTCTAGCTGACCTTCGTGAGTTAAGATGCTGTACAAATAAAAAGCAGTGGGAGGAATACGAAATATCTGTATTAAATGCCATCCTGTAAAGTATTTGATGGATGGAAGAGAGTCTAATGCATTTTAAATAAATGCATATTATACTATCACACAGAGTGAGTCTTAAAAAAGTACTACTTATATGTGCAGTCCTTGTGGTGGTAGACATGGCACTGTGAAGGAAGTTGGATCTAGAAGCTATTTTCTAGTACATTTGTCAAGTGATGGAATTGCTGTTAGTCATATTGTAATATCCCTTCAACTTTGGTACATTCAGTGCAAAATATTTTGGGGACATTTTTTTTTACCTTTACAAAAATAAAAGGCCCTTTTATTTTTCCCTTGAGAGTGCTTAAAAGGATACATACTAGCATGATGGCTGGGTAAGCATGGAACATGAAAATGGAATAGGTGATACATACAGTATGACAAGTAGGTTCTTATATACATCTTAACATAAATACAAGGAAGCTATAAAAAATAAACAGAACTCACTGTGTACTTTTTCCTGATATGCTGTGATTAATTGGTAGTTATTTTAAAACTTTTTTCATGCATTATAAAGCATAAAATCCATCATTAGCAATTCATTGTATAACAGTTTGTCTTTAGCCATAATTATACACATACCACTTGCATATAAATTGTCACAAACCATCTTATTGCAAATAGTTAAAGTTACCTCCTGTTGACTGGGCTTCATTTGCACTTATCCCCAGGAAAGCAGAAACCTATGGTGCACACCATGCAGGCATGCGTAAGCAAGAAATGAATATTCTCTTACAAGTTAGGGCATAAATGAATGTATTTTCAGGAAATAGACTTGTTTTTATTATTTAACTTGAACTAATTTAGAGATTGGACCAAGTGCTGCCAATTTAGCTTGAATCATGTTCAAGAGTTAATGTCAAGATTCTCCTGAGTTCTGAAATGCCACCATGATCATGTATAGGTTTACCTTTTTCTTGGAAAACAACAAATGAAAAAAGTTTGGCAGTCAGGAAGAACTGTTGATTGAAAGACTGTTGGGTTGTTCCCTGGATATCAAGCTCCCTCAAATTCTTCCAAGAGGACTCAACACTACTCTCTTGGTCCGCAAAGAGACAGAGTACATGTTTCTAGAAAAGACCAGCTGTCTGTCTGCTTTACTCTAATCATACTTTTGAAATTTTCAGTGTCAGCTGTTCTTCCAGAGGGCAGCTTCTGACATTGCTGTCCGCAAAGAGCTGTACATTGTGCTTCCAGGTCACTCAAGTCCGAAGGTACTTGTCTCTTCAACTGCTGTCAAGAGTTTTTCATAAAGCATGGAGAAGGATGGGTATGGAGGCAGGTCCAGACGGTTAAAGCAAGTATGTGCCCTGTCAACAGAAGAAACAGTACAGTTTAGAAGGCTTCTTGTAAAATGAGAACTTTTGTTTCGGCATGCCTTCAAATTCATATTGTGTTCCTGCCAATCTTCACACTGATCTTGGAAAAGCTTTAAAAACATTTTGATTTGAAAAATTCAGAATTAAATTTCTTGAAGGGAAAAGGGATCTTGGAAAAAAAATACTTTATTTACATTTCTACCACAATGTAAAAGCCACTTTATATACATATTTGTTTACTTACTTTTTAATTGTCTAAGAATGACAAAGATAAGTTTCCTTATTTTTTTGTTTCTCTTCTGGTGTAAGATATATGTTTTTAAGACAGGAATAGCAACCCTCGCAATGAAACTCATTTTCAGAGTTGTATCTGGTTATCGCTCAGACCATGTAATTCTCTGTGTTTTTCATTTAACTAGGCAAGGACAAGCACCAATTATCCCTGAAGGCCCTCCTCCAGGCTTGGTGTCCTGGGAAATTCCCTGGCTACTCCACTGAACTCCGTTAACTATTGTTCTATCTTTGAACCCTGTGCTAGAATCCTTTCTCTCCTAGATTCACAATGTGAAATAATAGCCACTTAAATAATTATGTGTTCATTTTTAGAAATACTTCCCCTTTTGCCAAGATAGGAAAAAAATATGTTTTCCTGTTATTTGCACCTGAATCACAATAAAAAATAGCCAATTTCCAAATAGTACATGTTATCAGGAAGCAAATCTGCCCTTTAGACATGGACTAGAAAGCATCCCATTCTCAATGCACAACAGCCTATTGGTGGGAGCGCAACAGTATTCGACTTCAAACACTGCTCCTGCATTATGGGCAGGCTATTTCTAGAAAGCCATGTGTTTTTATTATTATCAATAACTTTATACATGTGAAATCATATTCCTAGAGGCACTATACTGATATTGGACAGCCTTGGTTAGAGTTCTAGTTTTACCATCCAGCTGTGTAATCTGGGGTACATTATTCATTATTGAAACTCTCTAAGTCTTAATAGTCTCATTTGTAAAATGGGAATAAAGTAACTTGTTTCAAAGATGTGAGGCAAATACATTCCATTGCCATAAAAAAAAGTTTAATTACCTTTAATTTGCCAAGAGAAAATAGTCCAAAACATGCTTATAGAAACAGAAACTTGGAGTGCCTCATTATATTATTATAGTAATACTTGTTTTGGAAGATATAGTACTGACTCAGAATTTACTATTGCTAGTATTCCAAGCTCTGGGACTTGTATCATTACTCTATGAAGAATAACTATATGAGGAATAAAAATAAGAATATTGCCACTGTTCTGAGGTGTTGCTCATGACAACGAACTCATATATCAGAAAAACAGAATGAACCATTGCTTCCAAATACCTCTTTTTAAAAAAAATTCATTTCAGAATTTTACTTATTCTAATTAGTATTATATCATCCTGATTTGAGAACACAAACTTCTGTTTCAAAGAAAAAGTGGTGCTTTTAAAAAAATTAAGCAAGCATAGAAAGTTCTTGGTATAAAATAAATTTTATTGTGAAACACTATAATAAAATATTTGATAAAAATTTTATTTGCCTTCTAGGGAAGGAGGAAAAGAAGCAGAGAAATGAAACATATTTTAAATATAATTTTATGCCACACTCTGTGTGTCAGACATATAGCATTTCTTATCTCATTCTACTAAAAGAGAATACCTCACTACTTTTTTTAAATTTCCATTTCTTTGGTTACCATTAAAGCTGAACATCTTGCCTGCTTGTCACAGTTGTTAACTACCTAGTCATTTTTGTTTTTAATTCTTGGATTTTCTTCTTGATTTTTATCACTATTATATGAAGAATAACATTTTTCCATATTTATTCCCATTCTGCAAAAGGTGATTCAACAGAATGTGGCAATTATCAAATAATATCATTACTATCCCATGTAAATAAAATATTGCTGAAGATTATAAAAAAAAATGACTAGAATAGTACAGTGATAGAAAACTTCTAGAAATTGAAGTTAGATTTAGAAGAGGCAATGGCACCAGGGATATCACTCTTGATGTTAAATGAATCTTGGAAGAAAGCAGAGAATAGCAGAATAATGCCTGTGTTTTATTGACACTGTAAAGACAACCAGTGTGTGGATAACAACAAATTATGGCTAACATTGAGAAAAATGGAAATACCAAAACACTTATTTGTACTCATGAGAAACTTATACCTAAATCAAGAGGTTAGAGTATGAACGGAGCAAGGGAACGCTGCATGATTTAAAAATAAAGGTGTGCATGAGGGTTGTATCTTTCTCCATACCTATTCAATCTGTATGTTGAGTACATCATTTACGAAGATCAATTTTATGAAGAATAATGTGGCAACAAGATCAGAGGAAAGCTCATCAACAGCCTGTGTTATGCAGATGACACATCTAGCTTTGCTTAAAGTGAGGCCTTAAAACTCTGTTGCAGAATTTCAAAGGTTACACACTTCAATATGGATTACATCTCAATACAAAGAAGATAAAAATCCTCACCACCATGCCAACAGACAATATCATGAGAGATGGAGAAAAGACTGAAATTATCAACAGTTTTCTTTCACTTGAATCCCTTAATCAACACCCTTGATATCAGCAGTCAAGAAATCCAAAGAATCTGTTGTCAAGAATCTTTCAAATTGCTAAGGAGCCACATCAGTTTAAAGACTGAGGCGAATCCAATCCAAGTCTTTTCGATTCCTTGCTATGCATCTGAAAGTTACCCAATAAATAAGGATGACAGATATAGAATCGATGCCTTTGAATTGTGAAACTGTGTTGAAGAAGAGTGCTGAACATCCCATGGACTGCCAAAAGAACAAACAAATATATCTTAGACAAAGTGCAACCAGGTTGCTCCTTGGAGGCAAAGACGGCTAAGCTTCATCTCACACACTCTGGACATGTTGTTAGGAGGGGCTATTCCTTAGGAAAAGGTATCATACTTTTACAGATGGAGGGCCAGTAAAAGGGAGAAAAACCCTCAACAAGACGGACTGACACAATGGCTATAACAATAGGCTCAAGTATACCAGAGAGAAGGGGATGGCACAGGATAGAGTAGGGTTTCCATTTGTTAACAGGGTTGCTATGAGTTGTAGATGACTCAAGGGCATACAATAATAATAGCACTAATCTCTTCCAGCCAATTTATGTTACTTTTATATTTAGCTATGCATATTATTCATGGAGCCATGCTAATCTGGTTCTTGTTTTCCTTTCAGGACATATTTTCTCTCCTTAGTATTCTGCTACGATGACATATTGAAAGGGTCATCTCCACTGTGTGGGACCCAACAAAGAGTGACCTAATGCTTAGAAGTCATGCTGCCAAAGCCAAAACAGGCAATCGGAATCCACCAGCGGCCCTGTGGGTGAAAGATGTGCAATCTCCTCTCATGTGATTTACAGCCTCTAAAGACCCTCTGGAGAGTCAGCTATGAGTCATTTCTGACTTGACAGCAATGAATCCTGCTTTTTTGGTTTGTTTTTTTAAGTGTTGTCAAAGAATATGACAGGTCAACGTTGGGACAACTCTTCCTTATAAAATAGTAAGCTGTTTTATATCACTGTAATCCTGTGTGTGTGTGTTTGTGAATAGAATAATATCAAGTGAACTAGAGAAGCTCATTAATGAAAGGAATTCAAGAAGATTCTCCAGGCAAGCAATTCCAGTCCCACCAGTTGCTACTGGGCTGATCTGATTTATGATGTCAGAGCACAGCTATGCTCCACCAAGTTTTCAAACACTAATTTTTTTGGAAGTTAATCACCAGGTCTCTCTTTTGAGGAGCCTTTTGGTGAACTTCAATCTCCAACCTTTCAGTTCCAGTCACGTGTGAGAACCATTTGCACCACTCAGCAACTACAAACTAGTTGCCGTCAAGTTGACTCTGTTGTCAGGTGCCGTTGAGTCAAGCATGGCTCAAAGCGACCCCATGAACAGCTGACCTGAGCCATGCCCCACCCTGTGACATCTCATCATCTCTGACACACTAGAGCCCGTTGCTGAAGTCACTGTGTCAATCCTCTCCTTTGCTGACCCTCCATCTTTTCAAGCATGATGTCTCTTTAACAGGAACAGCCTCGCCTAGCTACATATCCCGAGTATGAAAGATGCAGCTGTACCATCCCTGCCTCCAAGGAGGACTCTGGCTGCACGTTTCCCAAGACATACCTGTTTGTTCTGTCGGCCATCCATGGCACAGTCAGGATTCCTCCCCAGCACCACAACCAGCCGATAAGCAACTCCACATGTATGAGAGTGGAACTATGTTAACTAGAGTTTTCAAATGCAGATCTTTTTGAAAGCAGATAGACAGGCTCCTTACCTACCCACCCCCAGGCCCCCAGAGGTGGCCCTAGTTGGATCCTAATATCCTCAGTCTTTCAGTGGCAGTCCAGAGGATTAACTTTTTGCACCATGCAGGGATAAGCAAGCAATAGTCTCTTGTTTTTTACTGACTCAAGACAAGACTGAGCAGTCATGTACCTATCACACCCTAGTCAAGCCTGGTCCTTCCATCTTGATAACTAAATACTTTTACCTTTTCTAATGGTTGTTTTCAGCCAATTTCACACCAAAATACACATGCACAGAAATGAGGCTTCACATACAGCAATGCTTAGAGCCCTCAGTTAACTTCTTGCACATACTGAGTGCTAAACTTTAATTTCAGGTAGTTTGGTGGTAGGTAGAATTCTGACATGACCCCTGACCATCTCCACCTTTGCATAATCCCCTCCTGTCAAGTAAGAGTGGGACCTGCAGCTTGTTTTTCACTCATAAAATATGGTAACACTGAATGGATGCTACAGATGTCATAAGGCTGGTGGTTCAAACCTACCAGCTGCTCTGCAGGAAGAAAATGAGGCAGTCTGTTCCGCTTAAGGAGAAAAGTCTCAGAAACCTGATGGAGGGTCACCAGGAGTTGGAACTGACTCAGTGGCAGTTGTTTTTTTTTCATTTGGG